CTGTCGAGTCCATTCCAACTCATAGCAACCCTATAGGACAGAGTAGAACTGCCCCATAGGGTTTCCAAGGAGCAGCTGGTGGATTCGAACTGCCGACCTTTTGGTTAGCAGCAGAGCTCTTAACCACTGCACCACCAGGGATTTTTTTTTCAGACCTGTGATGAATGTAATCTTCTGTTTAAATCTAGGCACCGTGGAAATAAAAATAAGAGTGATATTAACATTTAAACTCTTCCTTTTTCAAGAGCTAAAAAAAAAAGAAAGAAATTAAAATTGCTTCCTTTCATTCTCTTATAGGAGAAAATGCAGGACAGACACCTATGAACATCAATACCCAGCCGACCCGCTTCCCTGATTTTCTTGACTGTCTTCCGGGAACAAACGTTGACCTAGGAACTTTGGAATCTGAAGATCTGATCCCCCTGTTCAACGATGTAGAGTCTGCTCTGAACAAAAGCGAGCCCTTTCTAACCTGGCTGTAATCAGTTCCGTTGGAACTTGGATGCAGCTGTGACCTGACATTTCCTGGGCCTCTTGGGAGAAGCGATGGGTCAGAGCAAGTCTGCAGGTGTGCCACTTTTTGCCTCCGTGACCCTTGCTCTCCCCTTTCCATGTGGCCAGTTTAATCATTGCCTGGATTTGATTGACAGTAACTTAAGTTAAACTCATAGGTAAATATTCTGTCTTCATTTTCTGCAAGCCTGCATTCCTGGGATGGATTATGCAGAACTGTTTCTGCAGAATTGATTCTCCTTTTCTCTCTCTCTCTCTGTTACCCCATGACTAAGCTGTAGGAGTGGTAGCTGAAATTGATAGATCAATTGATTAGAAACCATATACAGCTGACCACAGGCAGTGTCTTCTGACGGGTGGCTTGGTCCAGGAAATGTGCACAAAATGAGACCTGATTTGCAGTTTCAAAAACTGTATGGATGGCAGTAGTATCAAATGCTTTAAAAACCTATTTAACTTGAGCTTTAATCATTGTATGGACAGTAAAATTCTGCCGTAGGGAGTACAATGTAGTTTTGAATCCATGCTGCCTCCGATGGCTCTTATTACTCTGTATTTACAAAGGTGCGCATGGTCCTATTGTAGTCTGTCCTGCATCATTTTACTGCGTAGCATCTAGACAGCCAGTCCTTCCAGTGGGAGAGTAGTAGCATTATAAGTCACAGTTCTCACGCCGCAAATCTTGTGCAAGACACCAGTTTGGTACCAATTTTGAGCATTTACTCAACAAAACTTTTTAAAATTGCAGCTTGGATTTTTTTTTTTTTTCTTTAAATTGCAGTTTGGAATTTGATGTGGAGGTTATAAAGCACTATAATTTTGTAGCCGAAGACAAAAGGCAGCCAAATGTTCTGGATCAATCAGTGGCAACTGTGTTTGGTGCCTTTTGAAACTCTTCCGACAACATTGGGACAATATAGCTTTCAGCCTGATGGTACACATAACAAGCAGTAGCTTCTTAAATTCTGAAGCCTTGTCAGTTTTGCTTTTCGAGATTTCAGGTGTTTTCAATGATCTTATCTATGAAACTGTTTGGAGGATGAAGCAGCTCTCTGACTGACTGTAAAAAAAGGCCCTCTGAGGGCGTAAGGTGGAGACGTATGTTTCTGAATTCAGTAAAAATGGATCCCTTAGTATATTATTCTAACGTTGTTTGTTACAGTTGGTATAAAAAGGCATGAAATACATACTCAATACCTCTTATGTAACCAGGAACATTGTTTTATTAGCTTTTAAGGACTGAGAGACAGCATTAGGCTCACCTGGCCTGCAGTCTGCCTGCAGTACCAATGAAGTCCTCAACTGCTTAATATCTCCAGCTGACATTATTTATAATATATGAATTTAATCTCTTTAAAAAATGCATTGCTGTTTTGGAAGACATTAATAATTCAGGTCTCTGGGAGGAATCTTTTCATTCCTAAGGGGGCTTATTTGTGGAGGATCTTGAATCGGATCCTTTTCGCTATACCAGAATATAGACACAGAATACATTTTATCTTGTTGGAAAGAAGGCAAGTGAAAAGGTCAGAGATGAAGTAGTCAAGTTAAGGACTATAGTGGAAAGGATACTCGTTGTGAAGTGGAATTAGATAAGTAATAGTTCCCCAAAAGCAAGACAAGCAGGAGGTGTGAGAGGTGCCCCAGAAGAACAGAGCAACAATTTCCTACTACAACCTTTATACAAGACTGTTGTAGAAGAAAAGGCGGCTTTGGTGCACTTTATGTGGGAGGAGGAAGGGCAGGGCAGGTGTGGGTCCGCCTGTGTCATTACTGGGCAAGTAGCGGGCAAGAGCATAAACCTGCTGTGACTTCCAACGCAATGAAGTGATTTCTTTTTCCTAAAGGCCCCATGGTTTATGTTCCCCTATTCCTTTCCCTCTCGCTAAGCGCTCTGAGAAAGATGGGGTAGATGTCTATGTTGCTACTAAATTGAAGGGAGCACTATTTCTTTTTCTTGTTTGTTAGCAATAATTGCAAAGAGAATTGTACATTCTTTCTAAGCAAAAAGAAAATCAAGGGACCTAACAAAACTGAGCAGTGTTACTGTATTTTTTTAAAAATATTTTTATAGACTTCATTTTCAGGTTATTAAATGTAAGAAACACAGATACCCTTCTTTTTTTTTTTTAATAGTTAAAACAGTGATGATTTTTGCATTACCGATTTTTAGAAGTAATTCTCTAGGAGGCTTGTGGCATTAGAAAATACTAGATTTTTTTTTTTTTTTTTAGTGAAATTAGTTGGAACATTTATTAATGAACATCATAAATATTTTTCCAAAATAAAACATAGACTCTGACTATATGTTTACTAATAGATAAAGCCAGATAAAACTTTGTTTGTGTTGTAAGACCATAAGGTATGGCCTTTATCAAAGAATACTAAAGATAGAAACCCTAAAGTAAGGAAAGCTTTGTAATGGCCGTTTCTCATCAATGTAAATGTAAAATTCCCTAAGGAATTCATGATAAGGTGCTATTTATACGACATTTCTTATTATAAAACAACTGCCAGGGTATCTAGTCTTTTTAGTCCTAAATGAATCAACACACTTCACCATTTCACCCAGTAATTTTGCCAATAGAAAAAGTATATTAGAAAGTGAAATTGAAAAATAATTTCAGAGACCTTTGAAGGTTTCTTTTCCCCCAATACGAAATACAGTGTGTTGAAGTGAATACGTTGTCAAAACCTATTTGTAGCTCTGTTAAATCTAAGTAGTTGCTAGATGGTATTTCACCATAGTATTTAGGATGTGAGTACCATTTCTTTCACTGATTATGCCGTATATTGGTAAGCACGTAAAACAGTAAAAAATTAGTGTGCTGGGGGTGCTTTGACCACATCTTGGTGGAAGAGTTCTCTGTAGCAGAAAGTGATCTGGAGTGAAGCAAAGTATTGCTAATTACAGCTTGTGTTCATGTTGTAATCAGGAAGTAACTCCTGAAAGTGTAACTTTTATGGAAAAAAAAGTTCAAAAAAAAAAAAAAAGGAAACTGTAGATTAATTTAATTGGGAAAATGGGTGATTGACAGAGACCTTTTCCCTAACACACTACATCATTTATGTGCTAGTACTTTAACTTTTTTAAAAAATGTACTTCTACATTTTGTAATATGACATATGTGTGTTTATTTTTAATTTAGAATGCTATGCATACAGAAAGTATGCCGCTAAATCAATCAGATCAAACCATTTTACCTGGAGTTTGGTACTGGTTTTTACTTCTCTGATTCTGTATAAGAAAAATAAATGCAATTGAATTTCCATTTGGAGCCTTTGTCTTTGCATTATTTGTGTGTGTTCCTTTTGTTGAGAGTTTTGAGTGGTACTAAAGAGAGGCTTATGTAACCTTCCTGGCAGACAATGAAGGAAATAAAATTCTGTAGGCAAACATTTTTTTGGCTTAGAGGCCTAGTCTTCAGCATTGTAAATATCCACAGAATTCTGGTTTCTGCTTTATTTGAAGTAACCCAGAGAGATTTTTAGAGATATAGGTATTTTAAAAGTGAAGAGGACTTGAAGCACTTACTGATGAAGATCAAAGACTACAGTCATCAGTATGGATTACACTTTAACATAAAACAGAAATCATCACAACTGAACCAATAAGCAACATCATGATAAATGGAGACAATATTGAAGTTGGTAAGCATTTCATTTTACCTGGATCCACAATCAACGCCCATGGAAGCAGCAGTCAAGAAATCAAACTGTTTGCGTTGGGCAAATCTGCTGCAAAAGACCTCTTTTAGCTGTTAAAAAGCAAAGATGTCACCTTGAGGACAAAGGTATGTCTGACCCAAGCCATGGTATTTTCAGTTGCCTCATATGAATGCAAAAGCTGGACAATGAATAAGGAAGACCAAAAAATGAATTGATGCCTTTGAATTATGGTGTTGTTGAAGAATACTGAATATACCATATGTCAAGGATTGAATTATGTCCCCCCAAAAATGTGTGTATCAATTTGGCTGGGCCAGATTCCCAGAATTGTGTGGTTGGCCTCCATTTTGTGATTGTAATTTTATGTTAAAGAGGATTAGGGTGGGATTGTAACACCACCCTTACCCAGGTCACATCCATGATCCAAAGTAAAGGGAGTTTCCCTGCGGTGTGGCCTGCACCACCTTTTATCAAGAGATAAAAGGAAAGGGAAGCAAGCAGAGAGTAGGGGACCTCATACCATCGAGAAAGCAGTGCCGGGAGCAGAGCGCGTCCTTTGGACTGGGGTTCCGGCGCAAAGAAGCTCCTAGTGCAGGAGAACACCGAAGAGAAGAAGGCCAACAGGGAAAAAAAGCCTTCCCCTGGAGCTGACGCCCTGAATTTGGACTTTTAGCCTACTTTGACTGTGAGGAAATAAACTTCTCTTCGTTAAAACCATCCACTTATGGTATTTCTGTTATAGCAGCACTAGATAACTAAAATACCGTGGAATGCTAGAAGAATGAACAAGTCTGTCGTGGAAAAAGTTCAGCCAGAATGCTCCTTAGAAGCAAGGATGGTGAGACTTTGTCTCATGTACTTTGGATTAGGAGGACCAGTCCCTGGAGATGGACATCATGCTTGGTAGAGGGTTAGCGAAAAAGAGGAAGACCCTCAATGAGATGGATTGACACAGTGGCTGCAACAATGGGCTTAAACATGGCAACGATTGTGAGGATGGCGCAGGACCGCTCAGTGTTTTGTTCTGTTGTACACAGGGTCACTATGAGTCGGAGCTGACTCAATGGCACCTAACGACGACATATTTTTCAAATATTACACTGTCCTTTTAACACCCTCATAGAGAACCTCTGTGTTAAAGCAAATCGTTCATATTGACTTCGACATCAGAACTATAGCTTTCTTAGTCTTTCTTCTGTTATTAACAATAGGGTGTGGCCTTTTTTGTTGTCAAAACTGAAACCAAAACAACAGCTAGGCATTCGTTCTTAGAGTGGTGTTGTGAGGATATGTTTTCTCACCTGTGGGCTTCCTTGCCTCTCACTGTCATGATGCCTTTGTCCACTTGACAAAAACATTCGATGAGATCGCTCTTAGCAGAAGCATTCAGATAAGCAACAGAAAGGAGAGATGTTGGTGGAAACAACTTATCAACATTCCAAAGTCTAAGTTTCATTCATTTTTTTAGAAAACATACTTGCTGTCTTAGTTATCAAGAGCTGCTACAATATCACAAGTGGATTACAAACAGAAGTTTTTTCTCTCACAGCCTAGTAGGCTACAAGTCTGAATTCAGGGCACCAGCTCCATGGGAAGGTTTTCTCTCTCTGTCGACTCTGGGGGAAGGTCCTTGTCATCAATCTTCCCCTGGTTGAGGAGATTCTCCTCGCAGGAACCCCAGGTCCTAAGGACGTGCTCTGCCCTCGGCACTGCTTTCTTGGTGGTATGAGGCCCCCATGTCTCTCTGCTCACTTCTCTCTTTTTTTTTATCTCAAAAGAGATTGGCTCAAAACACAGTCTAATCTTGTAGATTGAGTCCTGCCTCATTAACATTGACTGCTGATAATCTCATTTC